TGGCACAATTGTTGAGTTTACCAATATAAATACAATTGAGATCATGTTCAAAGCCAAGTGCTAAGCCTTAATTTTAGGATTTTAATTATGCTCTATAACAATCGTCAACATAGATGATAAGTAGAACTGGATGTTCTAATATCCTCCCTTGTTATAAAATCATCCACTAAGTTTTAAGCAATAAAGACATCCTGCCCTATTTTAACATGTCTCCTATATTCAACTGCTTCGTGTTAGATGACAGTAGTGTACAATAATTTTAATTAGATAGAATTTACAAAATTCATTTTGGTAGTGCTTTTACTCATACTCATGAGTGTTTTTCCTCAATTCTCTGATTATTCTTTGTGTGATGTTGTTTGTTTATTGATTTTGTTGGCATTAGTGTCCATAATCCTAGGCCAAGGTTTGATCAATATCAAAGTTGAAAATGATTTGGTATTGAGTGTAGAGAGGAAATCCATGAACGATGTCATTGATGATCAAAGCAAGAATTATTTTGAGGCGGGTCCGAGAAATCATGTAATTTTGTTGAATTTTTGTGTTGTGATGTTCTTCTTTTGTGTAACAAAGATAAAAATGTGGACTTATGTGATTGTGTTGCCACCCTCAAATTATCTTCTTCAATAGCTTTTGTACCAATTCATGAGCATCATGGAGTTGATGTTATCTTGGCATATTATAACACAATTTTGAAATAATGTTTGCTAGTCAAATAGTGTAAATTATGGATTTTTTTCAAACTTCTTTTGCTTGATTTTTAGTGGACCTTGATTTGATGCAAATTGGTGGAAAACTTTCTAATTAGCCAATAGGTATTGAAGTGGAGATTCGGAAAGTCATAAAGGATTTTGTGTCTGAGGAGGCAATTGTCTAATAAGTTGTTGAAGAGCTTAGAATTGCTGCTTCTTGCTTGTGTGAAGTACTAGTAGAATTCTTGCACAAGGTAATAGTTCTACAACTTCTTTGTAATCTTGATGCTACTAATGATATGTTTTGATTGTTGCAGTTTATGAAGTTGATGTTTCAAACTTTGAATTTTTAGTTGATAAGCATTGGAATCTATTTTGTAGTAGAAAGGAAGAAAGAGGCTAATTATTTTACTAGTGCAAGTATAGCTACAAAGTGGGATTTAATGATAGAATCTTACTGCCATAAACAAAGGCAGAGAAAATAGTATGAAAAAGTCGCTTCTAATTGTTAGAATTGGACCTCTCCAATATTTATTCTGGCACTGAATCTTTTAAATAAACCCTTCTCCAAGGGCTTGATAAATATATCAGTCACCTGCTTAAGTGAAGGCACATAAATCAGCCTTGTTTCTTCCTTTTCAATTTTTTCCTTGGTGAAGTAATGATGTATGGCTATATATTTTTTATAATGATTTATATCCAAATTTCTTACTATCTTTATATTTTTTTTTAATATGGAAATAGATGGATATTGGTTTTTGTATATGTAGGCCAAAATCCTTTGAGAGCTTATGCAACCAAGTTGATTCTTTAGTTGCAGTAGATAATCCTATGTATTTTGCTTTAGAGGAAGAGAGAGCTATAATTGGTTATTTTTTGGAAGACCAAGTTATTGGATTTACTTCCACCATAAATACAAAATTTATTGTTAATTTTCCATCATATAGATCTCTTATCCAATCTAAGTTGATATAACTTGAGATTATTATTCTTGATTTTGTAATATGGAAAATGTTATAATTTAGAATACTTGTAATATATCTCAAAATATGTTTTGTTGCTATTAGATAAAAAATTTGTTGTTTTATGATAATTTGACTAATAATTCTAATTAAATAGAATATATTTGGTTGTAAATAGGCAAGTTGTATGAATTTTTTACTATAATCTATAATAGGTAGGATCCACAATGTATTCATACATGTTTAAGGTGAGTTTGAGTTGCTCAACTATTGTAGTGGATACATGTTAGAATCCTTTTAGATCAAAGTGGTGAATTACTTGGAGAGCATAGCTTTGTTGTGTCATGAATAGACCTTGTAGTACTATGATAATTTTAGTCTTGAGATAGAATGTTAGATCACTCTCTAAACTTTGATTTTTCAAATCTCGATTCCATTTGTAATTTAAATCAAGTAATCTATTTGATGCAATTTCTTATAAAGAAGAGATTATCTATAGAAAGAACTAAAAGGATGTTTTTTTTTTATTTATTTATTTATGATAAATAATATAAAGATTATAGTCTTTTTTTCTTTTGCTAAATCTTTGATTATATAGAAATAAATTGATTTTATCATACCATACTTTTAGTTCTTGTTTTAAACCATATAAAGTTTTATAGAATCAATATCACATCCATATGGTATATAGAATTGCCATTTGCGTTGTGCAAAAAGAATTAGTAGCATGCAAATGGTTTCCTATTCGACAATTGGAGCAAATGTCTTGTTATAGTCAATTCCTTCCTTTTGTTCAAAACCTCAAACTATTAACCTTGATTTTTTCTTTTATAATGTGCTATGTAATGTAACAAATCTATAAATCAAATTAAAAGAAGGTAATTTGCAACATCTAATATTAATAAAAATTTCCACAAAGAATAGTAATTTATTTTCTTTAAGAAAAAAATAAATATTATAAAATAAAAAAATTAAATTAAAAGTGGCTATTTTGCAACCTTTAAAATATAACAAAAGAAGCAAAATAATCCACTCACTTCTAAGATAAAACAATAAAGATAAATTAGTACTTTTATCAAATTATCAAAGATATGAATTATGAAGAATCAAAGGATAAATAGACTCTTGTGTTACTAAAAAATAATATATAATTATTCAAAAATAATAAAATATTAAATTAAAATGGCTATTGCCAAATACAAGAAAACTAGAAACTTCTTGAAATAAGACTAAAGATGAGAAATATGTTATTAAGAGTAAAAAAGACTTCACTTCAACCTCTATATACACTATCTAACTAAAAGTTACATGGCAATATTCTATAGGTCCTCATTCTATGGGTCGCACAGAGAAGAAAGGCTGCAAGACTTCCGGACCTGTCTTGACAAGAACCATGGAAAACTCTAGTGCTGCACAATATCACCCAAACGGAGCGGGAAGATGGCAAGCTAACCCACATTGTATCATGATGGCCAACCAACTGCAAAAATCAACCTCCCTCCTATTGCGCCCATCCTTCCACACCTGAACTCAAACTCACAATGGCCTAACTCAAACACCACAGAAACACTACAAAGAAATTATGCGACACAACCGTTGTTTGGGAATTTACTAATCAGGGACACGATGGGGACAGTCCTAGGAACCCATTGAGCCACACTGCTCTACATATGGGAGAAGAACGGAATTTTTACAGTCAACGACTTCTGGCACTTCCACCATCAAGACTGGATCCCGCTAGACTACCTCGGGAACAGAATACACTCCCGTGACATCGCAACACAACGGGAACAAGTCACAAACAGCATCCCCGGGAAATCATTAGGATGCTTCCCACCAGAATCTGGAGAATGGGTTACACGAGAAATAAACGGCCCAATCTCGATTGTATACCATATCCATGACAGATAGGAGGTTGGAGGGCCCATTCATATGAAGCCCTCGCAACTGAGGAACTCAGAAGATTGCCTGGCCGACAGTTCCGCATCCCACCTGGTAATCTAGAACAAGTTTGAGTACTCAACTAAAACTGTACGAGATATCGTTGATGACCCGACCCACCCGACCTTGCCAGATACCGAGTATGGCTTTTCAGTTCAGCTCCCATTCTATACCTTCCATGGGATCCCATCGATTGGCATTGGAACGACATTGGATGCGTCAAGGGCAGAAACTTCTACGCATACACTACAAAACTCGGATACAGAATTGGTCTGGCATCGGAACAAGGAGCTATGAAAGGTGTACTACCTCTCAAATCGAAAGGATACACAAATTCCCAGTGCAAGAAATTCATGGCTAGAGTGTGGCACTCGTGGCTACCACGTAAAGTCGCTTCTATGCATTGGTTGTTCCTTGCTGGAGGACTGCCGATTGGAGCGTGGCGCAGCCAAGCCGGATGGGATGGTCAATGCCGAGTATGTAACGACGCTGCCGTAGAAACAGCAGAGCATGCATTCATGAAATGTCCCATCCTTCAGCCTGCTTGGACATACCTCAATAATCTACGAGCGGAGGCCCACCTTTCTACAATACATGGCAACATATCCTACATGGACCCCAGCTTGAACTAGGCAATCCAGGAATCCAATCAAACGAATTGTCCTGGGACGCCGGCACGAACTGCATGGTAACTACAGAGACCTCCTGGGAGATACTCAAGAGCAATCTACTCTGGCACCTTTGGGTACAAAAATGCGGCCAAGAATTGAACCAGGAACCATTCAAACTAGGAACGGCACTCATCCATCATGGAAACAACAATCCATGTCGGAATGGCCTGCTGGTCCTCTATTTGCCAGTACAAGCGATCAGACAAACGGAAAGGAGAGTTGAAGGCAGTCTTTAACAAAGTCTAGACACAACAATGAATCTTTGCAGAGCTCGACGGATCCACTCTCCGCGCACTGTAAGTCACATCGCCCAAACAGAGCAGGAAATGCGTGAGACTCAACAATAACGCTTACACACAAGATGAACTACCCAGAGACTTACAAGCGGCACAGCGAGCGCCAACGTTCCAAGGCTCACTCGTGGCGTTCGAAGTGTACGCTAACACCGCACAACATCTAAGCCCCGACGACTACAAGCGCTGGATGAGCGATGGCCTCGGGTGCTTTTCGCTCGGACCATCACAACCTCGCGGTTCCCTGGACCATCACAACCTCATCCCACTTTGGCTCTCACCAGTGCCCAAATCATGGAACTGAGTCCTTGACTCAATGAAACACAACAGGCCTCCAAGCCTCAAAAGACTTGCACATTCCAAACTTGTCCACAAACCCAACACCCCCAAACCACCCATACACAATACACAACTCCCACTAATGCACAACCACACCGCAACACTACTACAACTCCATGTGGTCTCATGGCGATGATAAATCTCATTTCTTCTGCTCCAGCCACACCAAGTACGGCTCTACATGGAGCGATTCATATATTCATTTACGCAACTACTCCAACCTATTCCTGTATCCCCCTCCCTTGCGTTATAACAACAACAACCCTCGCATCACCCAAAAAGGTCCTGAAACAGAGCAGGATTCGCACCCGTCGGAGTGACGCCAACTTGCCGGGAGGCAGCATCCTTTTGCAAAGAATGTTGACGAGAAGGCCCTTTCTTGTCTGACACACCAGTCGATGGCGATAAACTTGAACTTGACTGCGCAAGCTCACCCAATCCCGCCAGTGGACTCAAGCTTGGCAATATATTCAAGTCTATCAGTCCTCCTTCAACCCCATTCGCGCCATCCATCCCACCACTGCGTCTATGGCTTAAAGATAGCACATCAGAATCACCTGCTAACGAGCTAGCACTCTGGGACACAACAGGAGCGCTGTCATACAAAGACATAAAATCCATCGTACTCTTTCCCAATCCTACTGATGTGGAAGACGCTGCTGTGGAAGGCACGCCGAGTAAACCTTCCAACTCCTTGAACGGATCGTACGATGCTTTAGCATCATGAACTGGTAGTGAGTCGTCCCCACTCATGTCCACCAGGTCCATCAGCGAGCTCGAGGCTTGCTTTGGCTCAGCTGCGCTCCAATTCTTCTTCTTTCCGCTCCCTGCCGCAGGTCTCGGAGGTACGCCCTTCTCACCGGGTCGAACATTCCCTGCTGCCTTCGACGCCTTCACTCCTCCCTTCACTCCCCCACTACTGCCTTTCTGGACTGATGAACCACCAAACAAGGATGCCGCCAGTCTCTGCTTCTCCGCTGGTATTTCCCGCTCTACCTTCTTTCCCTCGAAGCTGCTGCTGTAGATTTCATGTCTAGGCTCTGCTCCATCACCATCCCACAACTCTACAAATCAGCCACCAACCAACTACGTCAACCACATACACCCTACTGCAATTCGCCATGCTATTTCATGTTACCTCGCAATCACAAACCAGCATTAGCACGTGGAAACAACAATCTGCTCCCGAAGGCTCCATCAGCAACTCCCTAGTGCGAATGGTTCCCCCACATCATCCCGTAACAGCATACACAAGCAGCATACTTGCCCCGAATCAACGATCCATCGTCCAGAATGTAACTCATCTTGTTTCCATACGACGTACCTGCTGGACTGCTTTCCTTGTTGGAGCTCGCGCCTTCTGAGACACCACTATCACGCCTTTGTTGCTCAGAGGCTGGTGTGGGCGCAAGAGAAGGTTGAGAAGAACCTGACGTACGACCCCATTTCCTCTGCACTCCATCTAACCGAAGTCTTGCAACTTCGGGCCCCAGTAAGTCCACCTGTGAACTATCGGTCTGGTTTCTCACGCTTCGAGTAAGTTCAGTCACTGACTCCTCGAAGTCTGGAAGAAGAGAAGAGGGAGCAGCTGCAGAACCGGAGGGAATGGCTGCCGTCGGCGTTTCATACGCTTCGAACCGTAGACCGTGGGACGGCTCATGATGGCTGCGGCTGCTACTCACGAATGAGCTCATGCCACTGTCCACACCAAGCCGCTCGTTCTCATCCAGGTACGGACGGGCCCCATTGGCCAGAGCAGAATCCACAAATTCTTGTAGAAATGGCAACTCCCTGTCAAACTGCACGTTAACCCGCAAGTCATTTCATACTCAACATTCGTCTGCTGAAACGACACCCGCACCACGTATTCTCAAATCTTCAACCTTGTTGTAAACAAAACTTCACAAAGTCCAGCGACTCTACCTCGACGAGACTGTCAAAACATACAACTCGGTCTCCACCCGAGAAACTCGACACACGACATCCGACAACAGAATATCTTTGAAACACCAAAACACTCTTTCTTCACCCAAACGAACACAAATATTTCAATCCACAAATAAACTCTCCACGACTCAAGAAACAAGCCATACAGGAGTAACTTTCTATATTTTGCTCTAAACACACTGCACCCACGAAGACGTAACATCCCAAGCACCGACCGTGATCGTGCCCTGTCATCTTGCCAACTTCACACCCGGCGACCTCACCAGAAATCTCTGTAGAAGTTGAGTCCCAAACCAAACTCGCTCTACCAACCTACCCCTCACAACCACCTCATCCTCACACACGAGAAAGGAAACGCAGCCCTTCACGGCCAACGTATACACCTACCTCAATCTCTTCGCCACTTCCGTTCACAGGCAGCACCTTCCGCACGAGGTCCGCACCAAGTCCAAAGAATACCTGCAGCTCATATGCCCGCTGTTGTAGGTCCGTGGAGTGGGAGGCCAGCAGATCATCCACAAATGACCGACACTGTAACACCCGCCAGGCCCACGTTCTGTTAGACAAGCTTCCTGCTCTGGAATTTTCTAAAACTACCTCTATCAGTTCACACCGTCACCTCAAACACATCAAATTCTCCATGCGAACACAGATCTATCGCAATAGTACATCTACTCCCAACATCTCTTTCTTCAATATTATGTTCCATGCTCGACTCGTAAAACGTCCCCGCCGCTCAAACCGTGCCTCACCCGCTCGGCACATCTAATGACATCCACAAACGACCCCCAATATCATCCAATCCACCAAAGGACAGAACCTGTCTACAACCCAGGTGCCGACTTGACATCCGCAGCTGGACTGACCCTAGGTAGCTTATTGCTGAAAGACGATGAGAGCCAACGGAGATCACCTCGGGTATGAGCTCAACTTCTCTGCCCGCTCCAATCTCGAATGCGCATATCTTCGTGATTGCTGTGATTGCATATCCCTGACCGTGTCCAAGCCAACGGCCCCTACCGATTTAGAGCAGCAGCCACGGATTCCTTTACTGTAGGAAGGTGCGAACAAATGTGCATATTTCTAATCGCTCACAACACATGCGCTGCCAGGAAACAAACACACCCCCAACACGCTACTCGCTACGACGATGAATTCACCAGGCACACTAACCTGGGACCTACCTTCACAACGTTATCACCGGGATGAGCTTCGGCAACATCGCACAGCTTGCCAATGATGTCATCGGCACTATGAGTACCGTCAACAGTTCCGTACTCTCCCAATACCCAGCACGCAACCTGCACGTGCACAATGTGATCCGGAATCAGCCCCTAACAACAAACCACAAGCCTTTCCGTTGACATGGTGATCAAACGGCGAGGCTGACCTGGCATACCCTTGGAAGAAAGACCACAGAACCGGAAAGACCAAACTCGAGCTTCGCATTCACTCAGGGACCCACGGTATCCACACACTAAAAAAAATCAGTGTCACGCAGCTCACTCTACCTGCAGAAGAATTGATGGAAGCTTGGGCTCTGCTAGCAATTGCAAATAAGACTCCACCTGCATAACCGATATAACCCATCGCATCAGTCACCAAAGACTCAACATAACACCCACACTCCAGGTTTCCAGGAAAGATGACGTGGATTACGCATACAAAGAGAACACGCTCGTACGCCAAAAACTTTCACACAAGAGGTAGAGAATTTTACTGCGGACGATCTCAGAAGAGAATCAGCTTCTTCGTCATCTTCACCAGCGCCTTTCGAAAGTAGACGCATCAGATCGTGCGCAACTTTCACAGGCACCAAATCCCCTGCCAGCTCAAAAACTTGGTTCATCGTCTGTTGCAGTACGCGAAGCATCCCCCTCAAAGTTAGCACATCGTCACTGCAAACTCCGCCTACACTATATACTTCTGGCGAATGAGTGCCACTTCCAATCAAATGTTCACGAGTAACTGAACCCCTGCCATTTGAGGTAAACGTCCAGAATTACAGCCACCGCACACACTCAGAGGTGTTACCTGTATGAACCATTGATTGCTGGGTGCAAATCGCTCCGTCAGTTCAATGATGCGAGTGGCAATCTCAGTCTTGTTGTGTGCATCACTCAAAGTGCGCATGTAGCTTATCATGCGGTCGACTATTACTTCCACGTTACTTGACTTCGTCATTTTGTACAACAGATCCAGCGTCTTCCGCTTCAAGGTGTCATCTTGATCCTGCCAATAAGCAGCATAAACACACACATAACTCCACCATGTAAACAAAATAAACAGGGAAGCACAGCATCAACAATATAGCCACACTAGTGCATACACCTACAAAGCATCCAGTTCAATAGCTACGCTTGAGAGAAACCACTTCCAAACGCCGTAGAGGTACTCTTCTGCTGACACTACAAAACCCAAAACTTCCTTTCATCCCACTTATCACATCATAATCTCACCACTACCCATGATGATGATCATAATGATCCTCACAATGTTTTCAAAACGAACATTCCTAGCATTCAGAACTCAATGCGTACCATCATAAAACGATAAACAACTTTAAACGCCACTACACAAACGAAACAGTGTGGGCAGCTGGGCATACCTCGAGACAATCGATAACAGACAACTGGTGTTCCTCCGCAAAATCCGGATTGATTTCAATCACACGCCCCAACGCGTCTATGCCCATATACTTGTAGTTGTGACTGTCGCTCTAACCAACACAAATCGTTTTAGAACCGCATTCTCAGGTACATACGTCATCTCACATCTCTGTACTGAAAAGTTGAGTTGACCATCAATCATCTCCTCACTTCAAAACATAAGGTGGGAGCATGTGCAGCAACACCGCTCATTTCTCCAACTTGTCCACGTCCATACTGATGCGCTACAAAGTAGCATGCGCTCCAACTTCCTTTCAGCCTCGTCTCACAAGCCACCCTCTTTAAACAACCTCTCCAGCCTACTCCTCTCTATGCTCACTGCCACTGGATTCATTCTCCTCGCCTTTCTTCGACTACACAGCGTGCTTACGCACTGCTGCCACGAAAAACCCCGTCCATGCTCCAATTTCACACCATCAAGCCCCCTAACCAAACAATGATGTAACGGCCAATCCAGACGCGCACAAGATATCACTGAAACGGGTCGACTACGTGAAGCTCACCTTCAGAAAGCGGGACGTGATTTCAGCAGCCAGCCCAAGGAGCTTACTGTTAGCCATGATTGCTGTGATAGTGCAGATGCATTCATAGAGGATGGCATTGGTTATGTTCGACCCAGGGTCACCTTTACCAGGTTCGTTCCTCTTGATAACGTCCATCAACACACTGTACATATTCTCGCTCGCATGCTTGTCCCCTGCCCCCAGCAAAGCCAAGATTTTCAAAAGCTTGATCTGCACCCAACAGTGATAATAGCTCCGGTAAGTCTGCAACCAACTGCAACAGTAGCCTACTGGAACTAAGTAACAACCTGCCGCCCTGCAATGGTTGGAGTTGCAACACTCCAATACTTCCACACGGTTACTTCAAAACCGACCAGCAAAGACAACCAAATAACACCGTTCTCCTAGAACCAGCTAGCATCAAATGTCACCACATGTCCTCCTTGCCCTGTATATAACATCTGGCTGTCAACAGCAATTACTGGAAACGCAGATTGAGCGCACGACTGAACAACACACAACTCGTTGCACTCCACAAAGGTCAATGTAGAACAGCTTCTGGCTTCACACAACTGCTCATATGCACATTGAGCACCTGTATAAAAGGAGCTGGAGTGCGATGGTAGTCATACGCCCTTGGAAGTCGATGCTCTGCAACTTGCTTGAGGATGCTCACAAAGCTAGCCGTCAGGTTCTTGAATCCTTTCACGTCAGCCGAGACCAAGTCAAACAGAGCGCATAGTGCTGCGCTCATCACGCTTGGGTCCTTGTCACACAGAATCTGCATCACCACCATCATACTTCTCGTCAGGATGACAATACACCTGCTCGGGCTGCCGTGAGGCATTCAAAAACACCACTCCAAGGCATCTGCAAGAATAAGCGCACACACGACGATGACGTCCAAGCTGCCGCCCTTCCCAGGCGCAACCTCACAGTGGTTAAAAAACGAAAATCCTCGGAATGCACTCGTCCCACGCAACCCACCTGTCGAAACTTTGTCAGCAGATGGGACATCGAACTGGGAGAGCGTTGCTGAAACCTGTGCAAAGCCATCACAGCCTTCTTCCTCACTTGCTCCTTGGGATGCCCTAACAGGTCAACCACTTGAGGCAACACCGCAGGAATGGTCTCCTCATTGATCAGCTTGCACACAGCCGTAAGAGCAGCACAAACTACAAGATAGTTATCCGACTTCAGATCCTTTTGGATAGTGTTCACAATCAGGATTATTAGATCGTGATCCTCGTTGAGAAACAACGTCGTCGCAAGATAACCACTCCTTTTGCACAACAGATTGTCGTCGTGGGTCATCTTCACAGCATAGATGTACCCAAACGATGCATCGTGTCCCAACATTTCTACGTACACAAGCCGAATGATGTACTCCTTCATTTTCTTGCGAGGCACGTCCGGCTCCATTATCCGCTTCTTCAGGTGTTCGATCTCTGCCATCACAATACTCTCCTCCTCCGCCTTCGACTTGGCTTCTCCTATGGCCTTCACAAGATCTAAATACTCCTTGGAGGAAAGCCAATTTCCTTGAGTGCCCATCGACAGCTCCCTTCCTATGGTCTTCAACTGGTCGATCGTATTTTGTGATCTGCTTTCCACGAGAAACAACACAAAACTATGTCATCAAGCAGTCCAGCAACACCATCACCGACAAGTGATGAACCCCGACAGTTCGCCCAAAACCATCGCGGATGCATTCACACCCTTAACGTCGTAGTAAAAACATCCTGATCCACGAATCCGAAAATTACACCGGCCCGATGAGCCACAAAACAATATCACTGTGAAACCACGAAACGCTAGCTTCACACTGCACCCCTGGTAGCTGCGTCACAGCAGAAATACTCGTCCACAGGACTCCAATCTCCTACATGTGCGACAACTCAAACCTAGTCAGACAAACGGCAGCGATGCTACTCTTCCAAACTCTTTCAGGGACACGACTTGAAGGAACGATTCCTGATCCATATCGATAAGGTTTAGAAAAGAGAACCCATGCTTAAAAGCTTTCTTCATAATAACGTTCGCCCACGACTCCATTGCGGCCCTGCAACACGAGCATCCATTTTAGCACCATCAACCACAAATACTTAATAGGCGCTCAAGCCAATCTTAGCCATGATTCTAGAGCCATAACTGTGACGATGAGATTCCGAAGTTCAGATTTTCCGAGACCGAGGAATCTCAAACAATATCAGTGCATTCGTTTGGGGTTCATAAAAATATGTTTTCATCGGCTCCATGCTCCCTTTCATCCTGTTGTACTTGGTCACTCAACGCCTCCTGCTTTCATGATTTAATGTTTGCAGAGGTTCTGAGGCTTCCGAGTGATCATGGAGCAGTTTGCTGAGATGAATTTCCCAGATTTTTTCGTTGGACTAAAACCTACACCTATTAGGGTTTCTTATCAGCCTCACAATGCACAGGCTATTGTCTGCAACAAAACTTATTCCGCCCTGCTTCCGATCTCCGTCTTCACCCGCTATATTAATCACCACACTTGGCATCTATGGCCTCAAAGCATGGAATCGGTTCAAAATCTACACACCAAACAAGCTACTAGGCTGAATGATTCGCTGTTCAACGAGATTCACACGCATCGCAAATTACACTATCACCAAGAAAAGGTGACAGACGTCGAAGCTGGAGAAAAGGGTATGATTCCACGAGCTGAATACTAGAAGCGACTGCAGAGGTTCTCGACAGGCATCTGTTCGTCAATTTTGAAACTCTGGTTTGCCGCTGTGATCCTTCGGTACAGCTCGGACAACACCTATCACTCTCGCCACATAGATGGAATCCCAAGAACTCTTCAAGGTAAGGGTAGAGCAAGGCTCTAGATGCGTCCTAAACGCACCTTCTGAACAACCGTCCAACCTCTCGACAACAGAAAATGCCGCTTCAGAATCCCAGATCTCGGCTAGGGCCACTGCATCGCCAAAGCACCTACACCTTGTAATATCTTTTCAGCACGATCTCACTGACTCACATTCCAGAGTGCCACCTGAGGCAATTGTCCCGAAGAATCTTATTCAACACGCCCGTTTCACCAATCTGAAAATGCGACCCAATTCCATATTTCTGCAACTTTTGCTTGCGCTCAAACCCTAACTTCAATACTCACAATCGTCTACGGCATCAATCCAGTAATACAAGCTGAATTGTTTATTAGCAATATTTAAATGATCCACGGCTTTCTCTCGCGGCTACGCGATCGGCCCATGAATCAGGCTAAACTTACACACTCCCGATCTCTTGCATGTGCATACCACCGCGCCACAAGTCGAGGAAACATGGGATAGAATGCGGAAGGAAAACCCAAATCATTATCAGAGTAAAGCAATACAATGAAAATGCACACGCTTTACACGTGACACTACAGAATCAGCAAGCGAATCGGCAAGGCCATTCATCAAAACCTAAACCTCCACGTCAGAGAGTGTTCTCCTCGGAGAACCTGGAAGAATGAATAAGGAAATAGTATGTATAAACAACAACAACAACAACAGGAAGAGGGCGAGGAGGATGGAACGTGGGCGTAGGGCTGGGCAGGAGTGAGTGAGTGAGTGAGTGAGGCTAGAGAAGTGGAGAGGGTGGGAGGGAAGGGTCCCGAGGAGGGGTGAGAAGGAGAGTGGGAGGGAGGAGAGAGAGAGAGAGAGGAAGGAAGGAAGGAACGGAACGGAACGGAGGAGTGCGATGCTGCTACGTCGCACGCAGGCAGGCAGGATTGCACTCACTCCCTCGTAGAAGTAGAAGAAGAAGAGTGGAGAAAGTGTGTGCGGAGAGAGTTTGTGACGTGGTCTATGATTCTTCTTTCGTCAGAACTGCACTACTGGTAGTATTATTGATGCATGTATGGGCTTCTCATAATCACACTACATCATAATGTAATTGGATCAGTGCACAAGTTTTGTATAAAGTGATAGTCAATGAAGAGATATACAATTCACAATTGATTTTGGGGAGTGTAAAATTGACCCAGCCAGTTGTTAATCATCCCCACCTATCATCAGAATCACAAAAATATATATATAATTATTTGATTATAGCAATATCCATATGAAATAGATTGTCAACTATCAACATGTCATTATAAATATCATTAGAAGATCAATTGGATTAATCATGGACACTTGTTCTTGGATGTTTTATTAAAGATGTTTTACAAATGCCTTGTGCAATGTTTGTCAAAGTATTGTTGGCAATAGCAATGGCGCCTACTAGGATTGAATGTGAATCAAACATGCTTCACAATGTAACACTAAATACTTGAATCCTCACCTTGAATTGTAGTAGCATTGTTGAGTTTGCGTATGCAACATTGAAATCTCCCACTATGAGCTCTTTACATGTTCTTTGAAAGAGATTGTTGTTTTTTCAAGCACAATCCAAAAACAAACAACAATTCAATATTTTTACTTATTTCTTGTCTTCTTTTATTTTGGATTCTCACTTTGCAAAGTTGGATGTGCTGAGTGATTATAATGTAGACATTTGAAACTTGGTTTTGAGAGAATAAGCTTTGTTTTAGAACCTTGCAAACTCTTATTAAAAAGCCATTTCTAAAAAAATATTTGTGCTTCAATTATTGCATTCTTTGAAATTTTAAAGACTAAAAAATGTCTCTAATTTAAAAAGACTAGATTTAAAGAATTCTACTAAACTTTGGCATGACCAACTTGCTACTTAAACACCAATATTCAATTAGTTTTATGTTGTCAATTACTTTAAAGGTGCAATTTTCTTCTTTAATCTTCTACCTAGAAGTCATAAGTTGTCACAGATATACATATTTATTCTAATATTTATCTATATGATTAAATAGAAATACATAAAAATAAATTTATTTCATAATATTTTCTAGAATAGCTTCTTAGAAGCTTCATAGATGTTGCTTTGATTTTATATGTATTTATAGTTGATTGGTAAGTTAGAAACTTGGTCAACAAGTTAACCACGTATTGATAGCTTGTGGAACAAGCTAATTAGATGGCACATACATAAAAAAAAATCCTTGCAAGTTAAGATACGAGTCTTATAAACTTAACTCATTTAAGAGGTCATATAAGACATTGCCACGTAATTCCTAGTTTAGAGTATATATGGAGGCAAGAGTGAAGCCTTCTTCATTCTTGTCAATACCTTTCTAGTCTTTAGTTTTGTTTCAAGACTTTCTAATCTTCTTGTCTTTGGCAATAGCCATTCTAGTTTAATATTGTATCATCTTTGACTGACTTTTGAGTTCTTTTGAATGACACAAGAGTGTATTGATGATTTCTTTTTTTAAGCTTCATGTCCTTAACAGATTCACAAGAGTGCTAATTCATTGTTCATGTCTTGTTTTAGAAGTGAGTGAATTACTCCACTTCTATTGTTGTATTTTGAAGGTTGTAAATTACCCACTTTTAAACAAATTGTTTAGTTTCCTAAAATTAATATCTTCTTTAAAGAGAGTAGATTATTTATTTTTGGAGAAATTTTTATTTGATATTAGAGATTGTAGATTACCCTCTTCTAATTTGACTTGTGGATTTAGTAAGTTGTTTGAAAGGAAAAGAAACATCATCAATGCTACATTTTGCAAAAGTAGTAATAGATTTGCAACTATTATTGATCTTTAAGAACTTATTAATATTCTTAAAATAAAAATTTTATACATCACAATTACCAACTATGGAAATACTAATCCTATACCTATAGAAGAAGTTTAGAGTTTATATCAAGAAGTTGTACTATTGAAGGAAGAAAATAAATCAACCTCACAACTAAATCTATGAAGTTTTGCTTCTACAAGTATGATAGGAACAAGGATTAATATGCTTGAGAAGTTTCATGGAATAAGATCAAAATTTTGAGGATTTTTACAACAAATCAAGTTCTATCTAAAATTGCATCCATTCCAATACCTTGATGGATTTACTCAAGTTGGATTCATAAGTACACTTTTATTTGAAAGTATTTTTATTTGAATTTTTATTTGTATTTTTGATGGTAAAAGATTTACAACTCTTTTATTATTTGAATTCATTCTTAAAAGTATTTATAGCTATATTCAGAGAATGTAATCAAGAAAGAGTAGCAAAAATCAAGTTCTTATCTTTATGATAAAGATCATGATCAGTTAACATATATGTTGTTGAATTCCAAAACCTTGCTTATGATATGGATTGAAATGACAAAGCACTCATCAATCAATTTTGATTTGGATTGAAGGATAATATCAAAGTTTTATTATTGACGATATCATGTTGTAATACAATTATATGGTAAAAGATAATAATATAGATCTTATTATAGAAGAGCCAAGTTAAAAGATAAAGTAAAAAAATATGGATAAAAGATAGGAAGGTAGTAAAACTTTTAGTAGTAATGCTATCTTTTTAGAAAAGTGACTTCTACTTACTTTGTAGGGCTATAAATAAGGCAAATCAAAGTGGATTGGAAAAATAAATGATATAAGCATCTTTAAAAAGAAATTAAGATTAAATTCTAGCAAAAATTACCTAGAAAAACAAGATATTGATACCTAGAGAGGGCCGGTTATGAACCAAGGTCAAAATCAGACCCTAAAGTAGAAAACCAAGACTTGACAACAATATTGGGGTTCTTTGGTAGATCAAAGAATGGGATTAGAGAGCAAACTTAATAAGATTTTGATGAGCATTGGTTTTGGAGTGATTTGGATTTGTATTGACTTTGTAAGAGCTTTGCAAAGTCAAGGGTTGTTTTGGGTGACTCTGGATTTGTGAAATAAAATAAGAGATACTTTTTGGAGAATTTCGTAAGTTTGGCAATAGATCTACAAGTGAAATTTTGAAGTTTTGTGTCTTTATATGTTTTCAATATATTTTGTGAGTTTGAACTTCATCAAAAGGATGGATTGAGGGTTATTGAGGTTTAAGTTGATTGGGGTCTTAGAAAGTAGAGCTTTAGGCCTAGTGAGGGTTTCTAAGATTTCTTGCAATCTATCAATTAGATTGGAGTAAAAATTATATATATATATATATATATATATATATGGATAGTTGACTTATTTTTCTGTACATATGAGATATTTGAGATGAATTGAACAATTCAATAAGAAGATATTGGTGCTAGAAATTCAATATTTAGATTGGAAAAAGAGGCTGACCACCATCTGAACAAATATTAGGATTGATCTTCTTTTTGGTGACTTCGATCTTCTTTACAAAATTTGTATTTGTTTTCAATTTAATTGTTGAGAGGTTTATAAATTTTGAGTTAAAATTGATAGTTCATTCATTAGTTATTGAAGTTTAAATCTATTGTAGAAATTACTTGGGATTATTTAGGATTTGGTTAGGATTTGTTAAGGATATGATTAAGATTTGTTTAGGATTCATTTAGGATTTATTTAGTATTTTTTAAAGATTTGTTTAAGATTTTTTAAGGATTTGTTTAGGATTTGGTTAGGATTTGTTTAAGATTTGTTTTGGATTTGTTTAAGATTTGTTTTGGATTTTTTTAGGATTTATTTAGGATTTGTTTAGGATTTGTTTAGAGTTTAGTTAGGATTTGTTTAGAATATGGTAAGGGTTTGTTTAGGATTTATTTATGATTTCTTTAAGATTTTTTTTGAATTTATTTAGGGTTTAGTTAGGATTTATTTAGAATTTATTTAGGATTTTATTAAAGTTTGTTTGGAATTTGTTTAGGATTTGGTTAGAATTTGGTTAGGATTTTTTTAGGATTTGACTAAAATTTGATTAAGGTTTCTTAAGATTTTTATTGAGATTTGGTTAGGATTTTCTTAGGATTTATTTAAGGTTTTATTAGGATTTGATTAGGATTTGACTAGAATTTGATTAGAATTTGATTAGATTTTAATTAGTATTTAATTAAGATTTTTATTTTAATATTTTTTTAAGATTTCTATTTTAATATATTTTTGAATTTCTATGTTCTTTCTTTATGATTCTTTAAAGATCTCTATGAACACTTTATATTTCTTATATAATTTCTTTAAAATTTTGATTGAATTTGATTGATGTTTGATTATATTTGCTCATCTTTAATTGTAATTTTTTTAAGAATCTATTAGATTTGTTAGGACTTGTTGTTACAATTTTTCATTTTATCTTCCATAGCCAAGTGCTTGATGCATTCTCAAGCCAAACACCACACAATACGACAACAATATCATAAGCAAAATCTTTGAAACAATTAATTGTTCAAGCTATTACATGCAACAATCAATTATTTGAAAGGTGTCAAGAACAAAGACTTGATTGAAGAAGAATAAGACAAGTAGTGACAATAATTCCTAAGTTTTTAAAAACTTATTTATTAAGGCCAAAACCAATACAAATTAATATGATATATTTTAAATTATTCACTACGCAAAAAAAGACTTGGCATCATTAAGAGGTTTTTTGCTTATATTATAAAAAAATTAAGCATACTATTCAACATTATCCAAAGAAGAAATGCAATCATAAAATGAGGAGCATGATTGCTGAAGAAGACAATGTATCAAAAAACAAGTTTCTCCAACTACAATACGGACTATGCAGGTAGAATCATATACAACATTTAATTAATGTCCTATTTTTTCCTTAGATCCTTCACCTTGTTTTGCAATAGATATATGTTAAGGATCTAAAAATCACAAAGTCTTTATATTATTAGATTTAGAAGCCTCAGTTTGTTTTGTAGATAAATTTTTTGTCAAGAAACAAGAAATATCTTTAGTT